TTTCAAAAAATTTACGAAATTTCCTAAAAATAACGAAATAATAAAATCGGACAATTAGCTGCAAAGATATGGTCTCCGGTTTGTGTTTATATGTTCTACTCCAAATGTTATATCCTTTGTTTGGTTTTTAAATTTTGAATGTGTTACTGAAGTGATGCTATTTTTTTTTTAGCATATTACTAATGAATACAAAAAAAAGTTCAGTCCAATAATTAGAATAATCTTTTATTTATTTTTCTTTGTAACTAGGAAGGTAATGTTACTTTAGATGTATAGTTGTTTGGAAATAGTAAACCATTGTGAAATAATTTGCTGCGTTTTTATTTTTGTTTTATAGTGAGATTTACTTTTGCTTATAAAAAGTCTTAATTTGCTTTTTAACTTTTGCTTTCTGAACGAAATTATTCAAATGCAAATTAACTCATGTTTTTCTATAGTCCGATGTAGTAATTTTTTACGAACGTCTCAGACATATATCAGATTATTGTGACATCCTCCTCGGCCGTGGAAAGCTAGTCCGGAGAATGAGGATGGAAAGATTTGGATATGGCCTCCTCTGCAATTTAAGCCTTAATAGAAGAAAATTGCATCAAGTGGGACAACGCAATGTAGCCGCATGGTCAGGATGGATAGAGTTAACTTGGACACCATTCTAGGGGCCTTGTCCCTTTCATGGCGATATTAAGCAACTTGCTTTTCTTTGACGAGCCAGTTCAGCTTGTTTCAGATCACTATATTTTTCCTTATAGAAGTAAGGATCGAACCTTTAGCTCCACTTGAACATTCCTTCAAAAAGAAATACTTTTTCAAAAACTCAATAAAACTTCCTTTACTGACTGCTCAATCAATACTTTCAAGCGTTTTCCTGGCAATGTTTAAGAGAAGAAAAAACATCAAATTGACTGATAGGTGTCGTTTTCATTGAGTTTCATAAAAGTATTCCTTTTTGGCAGAACATAAAGTGGATTTAGGGGAACGACTTGACATACCGTTCCAAGAGTACTATTTATATATACCACGGTAAAATAAGATGATGAATTTAGCAGTTGAGTGCTAAGAACAAACCATATTTTCAAAAGAAGCTTTATAGTAAATGTTATATTACGTTATTTCTAATGTCCCACTATATTCTGACTTATAATGAGTAATTAGAATAGAATAGAATAGAAAATAATTTTATTCTGGGACGAAGTCCCTTTAGAATAACAAAAAAGTACAAAATTAAAGTATTATATCTGGCCTAAGTAAAAACAAACATAAAAAGTAAAAATAAAATAAGAAAAAAAGTAAAGAAAATATTAGTTAAACATACTATGTACAAAATAAAAAAAATCGATATACAAAACACTTGAAACCATGCTGACTGACACTTAAAACTATGTACAGTGGTAAAATATAAGTATGCACTTAAAAAAAATAAATATATATATATTACATTCTTCTTAGCAATAAACTCTGTGTTTCTGCAAAAAAAAAAAAAAAAAAGAAGACGAATCTGATAGTAAGTATTTAAATGATGAATTATATTTAAATATATCATTATGTGAATCATTTTGAATAATATGTAAATTTACATAGAAGGTTAACGGAGGGTGTCTGACTGTTTTTGGGATAGAAATTTGAATAGGAGGGTTTTAAATGTAGATAGGGAGGGAGAATGCCGAATTTTGATGGGAAGGGAATTCCAGAAATTAACAGAGCGAGCAATAAACGAGTTTTGGAACGAGGCAGATCTGTGAGAAGGAATGTAAAGGTCAGAAGGTCGAGATCTTGTGAAAAGGGAGTGGACTGAGGATTTGAATTTGAGAAGGTTCTAAGCGTAAGATGGACGATGATTGTTGATGATTTGATAGAGGACTTACTTACTATTTTTACTCTAGAAGGCACAGAAATACTTCCATCTCTAATGTCAAGCCTCTATTATTTGCTGTTGATTTAGTCACTATCTGTCGTTCTGAAAACAATCATATCATAGAAGTAAATTACAGGACGGCACTAACAGAATAAACAACTGTTCTCTTCCCACAGGTTTTCATTACCGAAAAAACAAACTGTTTACATTTTACCAGAAAGAAAACACATCCACCCCCTCCCCCCCCCCCCTTCACACTAACAAACATAAATTTTTGGGTATAACATTTGATCAAAAACTAACATGGGAATCATACATTGCGACACTTAAATCAACTACAGCAAAAAAACTAAATATACGAAAATTTCTGAGTGGCACAACATCGGGCTCTTACAGATCTACACTACTAAAACTATATCACGTCTCGGTGTGCTCAAAACTCGATTATGTATATTTTTTCTACGGTTCTGGCCGTTACCGGGTCCTAAGTAAACTGGATGCGGTTTATCATACCGACATTCGGATTGCAACTGGTACGTTTCGAACCAATCCCGTTCTCAGTTTGTGCTCTGAGGCAGGAGTACCCCATCTTTTATTTAGAAGAAAGAAACTAGCAGTCAATTACATTTCCAGACTACTTCTCCGAACTGAACATTCTACTGTGCGTATATTAATGTTGCCCAAAATCGGTCTTGATCTTACTCTTTCCAAGAGCAAGACCAAGACCAAGCACGCCTAACTGTTTGCAAGACCATGACCAGAACTAGTTAAAAAAATCGATTTTTCAAATAAAAATTTATGCAAAATAGTTACTAATACTTGACAATCTTAGTTACTATATGTTAATAATTGATATAACCAATATACTTTTGCATTTAAATCCTCTAATTTTTCATTCGGGCTTATTTAGGTTTCTCCTATCTAAAAAATTACAGTAATAAACCAATAAGTAACTGCAAGACTGTTGCAAGACTCTTGCGCAAGACCAAGACTGAGTTTGCAAGACCAAGACTCGTCTCAGTCTCGCATTGGGGCAACACTAGTGTGTATATATCTGTGGATATATTTTCAAACCAAAATTTTCCAAGACTTTTGAAAATAAAATTAACTGTACCCTTCCTTTATCAGAAAGATTTAATTCAGCTATAACGTACCCCAAAGAAATACCCTTCATCAACCAATCCGTCATGGATAAACATACCGCCAAAAACAATCCTAAACGTAACCAAATTATCTAAAAACCAAACTTCACCTACTGAATACCAAACCAAATTTTCACATTTCCTTAAAAAATTACAGGATCCTTTTTTAATCTTTACTGATGGGTCAAAATCCGACGAATCTACAGCTTCGTTCTTTTTTTACTTATAATTCCACCCACAAAATAAAACTCCAACACCATGTTAATAATAACGGATCTATTAAGTTCTCTAATGAACTTAATGAATCTTTTCACTTTTCACTAACGACGAGAGAATAACTGTACACAATATAGCTTTAATGAGATGGATATAAGACATATTTACTAACATAACGACTAAAAATTGCTCGATTTCGTCTAATTCAACTCGCTTCGTATAAAACTTCCTGTTACTTTTGGTCGTACCTTGTACGATACACTTTTAAGGACATATTCAGGTTTCACTTAAGTGACATTAAAAAATAAATAAAATAAATTTTTGGTAAATATTTAGATGAGGACTGCACGGATCCTATTATTATTATTGTATTATTTTTGTTTTTAGATATAATTTAATAAATTTTATATATCATCAGAAACATTTTTGATTTATACTTTTAAGTTTTCCGTTATTTTTTTGTCGCCGAAAACTGTCCGTCGGATAAACCAGGATACATTCGGTAATCCATGAAAAAGTATGACCGAAATTTTTGTGAACCACGCTTAACCTGTGCGGTCCTCATCTAAATAATTACCAACTTTTATTTCTTCTTATGACGTTTCAGCTCAAATGTGGGTCATTTTAGTTCTGTGTTCTCGTCTACAACATGTTTAATAAAAATTGTTGTAGTCTGCTGTACAGACACCATTTTATCAAATTATTAAGATCCATCTGAAATTTCGCAAATATAAGTGGCTTGGTCTAAGAGTTTTTATTTAAAATAATTCTCGAAATTGGGTCTTTTTCAATCAGCAATTTTTGTCTAATGAGCTAATAAAAACACACCAATTTTCATTCCACTTGAATCCTAAGATAATTTTGGCGTGTGAAGGAGAAGAAAGCCTTCGAAATATTTGGCTCAATCTTGAGATTTGGAGAAGAATTAACGATGATATGGCTTGCCGATCAAAAACACAATCGGTAAATAATGTAAACTCCTCCTCTCTTGATCATATTCGACGGAACATGTATTCTTGAAAATTTAATGAATACAATCAATATACAATGTATACAATGAAAATCTTGTTGAGACCTGTATTCAATGACAGTACTACAATTAACGTAAGGTTGTGTGGATACAAACCCTATGTCTTGGGTTATCTCGAAAATAGTACGTTTTTGGGATTAAAAACGCAGGCCTTCGGAACTATTCGGGTCTTGGAGTACGCATCAAAATCTTCAAAGTCCAATTTGTCCCGTATAAATTTACAGATCTGCCACCTTTCCAGTATTGAAGCCTAGCAAAATGTTTGTTTCGACTTTATTTATTTTAGAAAGAAAAACAAAATTGGAGAATACGATTCTACAAACCCCCGGTGAAATTCTGAATCCAATAGTACCCCACCATTCATGGTATTTGAGCATGACAGGAGTGTATATTTGGCACAAAACCGATTTCGAGCCTTACTGTAATAATATATGTGTGGATTTTTATTTATTTTTGTTTTGTTTGTTTTTAAACTAAACTTCCTCGATGGCATCATAATCATGAAGGTTGTTAGCTATTGCTAATAGACCAGCATGATGTTGTCTTCAGTCTCTTGCGGTTTCTATTTTTCAACCCAAGCTAATCATTGTTTTCTCGCTAAACGTTTTGGTTGACAACCATCATCAGGACTCGTCAACATGGCGACGCCTGGTGCAATTTGGCGTTCTTCAATGACTCATTCAAGGAGTGGGTTAGCTCCTAGTTCACATTAGGCGTTTACGGTGTATTTTGTAACGGGGCGGTGGTGGGGGGTCTGACGTCACTGGGGGCTCGCCGCCACACCTCCCCGGTGACGTAGGCGATCAGACGGGACTCGTACCAACTCCGAGCAACAGGTTGTCGCATTCCTTCCCTTCACTCCGTCTATATCAGGTAATATATTCGATATAATACATATATTTATATATTATTTATCTACTCATTTAATATATTTATTTAACGGTAACTTACGTAATAATTATTTTACGTATAAAAGCTCTCTTTCGCGCCATCTGGAGGTTGGCATGTGTGCATACTGCTATATTTCAAAAGTGAATTATATTTCTCCTTTAATGCGACAAGATTTCTATTGTGTGTCGTGTTCGTAGTTCGTGTGCTATTGTCGCTAACTTTCTCCTATGATCAATGCATTTGCTAGTATAACAAAGGGTATTGAATTCTGACCATATGACTACAATTATATAGTTTTGTCTTATTAATTTATTTAATATAAATCTATTATAATGTTGTGCTCATTAAAAAAAAAATCAAAGACAGAATTAAAATAATTATATTTTGAAATAGGTAATGTTTTTTTCATCTTATTTCTTATTATTGATATATTAATAAATTTTGAACTCATTTATATCAAACAAAATAGTTTTGAGAAAAAAAATTGTTTTAATTTTTATGCACGTTAAATATTATATAACACAACCTAGTATAATTTTTTATTTTTGTTATTATTTATTTATATGATATTTACAACTGTGTACAAAAAAATACATCTAGTAAATTCGCACATGGATATAATGACATGAAATACATGAGTATAATTTAAAAATATATATAAATATTTGCTAGAGATTGCAATAATTAAAACCTAAAAATTGTCCAGAATAGCGGTGAATTAAAATTTTGCAATCAGCAAAAAATTATTAAAAAAACAACAACATCGTTTTATGAAATACTTTATCATTTTTAATATCATTTCTCTGCAATTTATAAGCACCAATTTTTTTTTCAATCGAAATTAATTGTTTCAACGCTTTAGTTTTCTCATGGATTAATTTGATAAGGTAATATTTCCTTATCAACAAATAAATAATTCATTAGTCGAGTTATATAAAAGAATTAACTATCGTTGTCTTAAAATAAATTATTATAATTTAGATTTAAACTGCATTATCCTTATTAATATCTGATCTATTGTTTCATTGATATGATATTTTTTTTCATCTCTATAATTGAAGAAATTTTACTACAAATATAAGTAATAATGTTCCTGAAAAAAATTTTTATGCTAAAAGAAATTTACATTGAATAGTTTAATTATCAGTATTTAATTTGATTATATTTTTTATTACTATTTTATATTATTATATCTATTTATAGAATGTTCCTTTAAGGGCATTATAAAAACCTTGCAAAGCAAAAGATAAAACCAGATCGTTTCCACAACGGCAAAGCTGATGCAACAGTTTATCCCACCTGCGTCAGGCTTCGGTAGCCATTTTATTTCTGTTGCCGTTTTAAAATCTCTGGAACAAGGTCTTTTTCCTGAATCTCTTAAATAGTATTTTTACAATTTCTTTTAGGCATTTATTTGTTTTCTATTGTCAGGATTTTAATGTAAATACTTTTCTTTTGGTTATTATTTTGAACATTAAAAAAAAATAGTTTTAAAAAATTTAAAAAAAATAGAGACAAAATAACAAAGACATTTCCTAGTTCTCCTTATGAATATTTATATGTTATTCTCAGTTAACAATTGTGTTCACAGTCTTTTGTTTTCTACTCTTCAAACGACCTTTAGCGGGATTGAAGAATTATGTTAAAAAAATTTAAGAATGCATATAATTTGAATAATAGTGTAATTTATAATTATTTCATTATCAATTGTTAGGATAGTTCTTATATTTTTCTTGGGTTGTTTTTTCTCTTCTATCTGAAAGTCTAAGATTTAACTCATTATATTTAAATTTGTATTACTTTCATTTGGTGTATTAGTAAAGCACAAAAAATTAAAAGAATATTCAAATCTCATCGATTTATATAATAAAAAATTTAATTTCTCGCAGATAGTTGTAATAATATTAATGAAGTTTCCTATATTTATAACTGCCCTTTAAAAAAAATTAAATTATTGAGTTAAATGCATGTATGACTTCTTCAACTTCTTTAAATGATTAAGCAATTCGTTGATTTCAAGATAAGTGTGGCATCTCTCTCTTCCCCCACTCCGTCTTGTTAGGGATCGTATTTTTGTAAATATAACAGTTACCATGCTAATTTAGACATTTTATCTGCATGATAACGCTTCAGTGTTTTCGATGTAAGCATTATTTTATGATAAAATATATAAAATAAATTGTATGGGAAAAAAAACTGTATCACTAACAACCCATGAAGTCTTGATTTTAGTAATTCGTGAGGAAGTACTGTTACAAGGTCAACGGTTGTACAGGGAGGTGATTGGCCCGATATCACGCTCAACCGCCATGTTTTTCCTTTTAATTAATTGTACCCACTTGGGCTGGGAGTGCTTCAGAGGGGTCTCCTCGCCACAGAGTCGATTCACAGCCGTAGAAAAATTACTAGTCATCAGCCAATTTCGAAGTTACCTCGCTTTAAAATAGTATGTGATAGGTGGTTGATAATTTTCTATGATTTTTTCCTCACCATAATTTATTTAGGTCTATAAGCAATTTCAGGTTAGGTTTTCAATTATTATTTAATTAATTAACATAAATTAGTTTTTGAGGCATTAACAGTTTGACAAAAAAAAATCAGTTTCAATACGATTCTATATTTTTGTCTAAAAATTTTTTTTTATTACCTATATGGTTTTGATTCATGTAAACATAAATTTATAACTCATAAATAAAATTAATTATTTACTTCATGAAGTAATTTTCTGGTCATAACTCGTATTTTTATTAGAACAATCCAGAAACTATAAAAAACACTTGGTATGCTTCCATACATTTTTAGATGATATTTAATTTTTGCTGGTACAAAGTATTACTTCTGTTGACCATCTATGTGGAAAACTAATTTTGAAATTTTCCTCCCCTACCTGAAATTAATTTTCTAAATTAAATATTTCCTCATTCCAAATTTAAACTTTTTGTTTATGCATGTATTAAGTCTTCCAATCTCAGATGTTTAATTTCATTAGTAACACACCGTTATAATTTGTACATTTCCGATCAAAAATGGCATTTTAACGTCGACAATTTTTTAGATAAAAGGTAAAAAAATATTAAATGAAATTTACAAATTCTTCTAATGTGTTATATTCAATTAAAAGTGATTGTATATAATTTAAGGTAAAAGAAAGTCTGTATAAAAAAAATAATAACAGATAAAAAAATTAATTTCAGCAATAAAAGGAAAGAAAAACAAATGTTTTTCTATATCGATGTTTATGAAGTGATATCTGATATCTGCAAAAGGCCTACTTTTCTGTAGATAAAAACTATTTTAAAATTCAATTAATATGTTTTTTTGTATTGAATGAAATTAATTTTAAATATTAATGAGCTATGAATTAATTAATTAATTATAAACCATTGCGGCCATGACACTCCTGAGCGATGTCACGTTGCTCGAGATCCGCGTTGACACCCGAGAACCAGTCCTGGGCGTGGCCAACTACGTCAAAGACGAGCCTCCACGTTGGAGCAATCTGATTGGTCGATCCTCTTATCAGATAACTCAGCGTTATCATTTTCACTATTCCCTACGCCCAAAGGTCCCCATCTGACCTCGAAGATGATTATTTGAATGACGCACGTCCTAAAATAAAAAAAAATATAACCTGAATGTCTTAATTCCATCGAGTTAGGAATGAATTCAACTATGCGACACTAAATGTTAATGTTTGAGTACAAAAGAAAACAAATCATTTGAATTGTCTAAATCGAGTAAATGATTGTAGGTTGATGAACACTTACGTTTTAAATTGTTTTGGCCTTGCTGCTGTTTATCGAAGAATTGAGACGTCATTTATTTTCTCGAGTTTCTATGTTGACTTGTGTATTTTTCTGTTTGAATTAAAATTCCTATATGCTTCTGCATATTTGTATATACGTAATGTAGAATTTGTATTTTCAATTAGTGTCTAAATTCGGGATTAACATAGCATTTCATTAACTCAAAAATCTTTTAAATATTTCTTACTAACAGTTGCAAGTATTTTTCTTTTATTATTATAATTAAATTTACTCTGGTAAATATTTAAATTCTATAATATGCATAACTATAATGCATATAAACAAATGGATTGACTGAGTTCTAGGAAAAATAAAAATAAAATTTGCTGCATACTTGCTTATACTGGTCAGATTTAGATAAATTTCCTTTAATTTTGTAGAGAATTGCATTAGCTTTCAAATAACTATTTAGAATTTTCCGGAAGATGTATAATTTTCGAGTTATGCAGGCTATAATGTTTGATTTTACGATTTTGAAATTATTTTTTTTAATCATACCAATTAAAATTTCAACTTCATAGTGATCAATGAGGCAGTGAAATAGATCATTCTTTTATTTTTAAAATTTTGTCATCATGGTATTTAAAATTATAATTTTTTTAAATCTTTGCTGTTCTACTTGTTTAAAAAAATCGATTATATATGTTTTTTCCGTTTAAATTAAGAAAATAGAGTTTCTGTAATTTTGATTATATTTTTTAAAATATATAAAACAACCTTAATAACATTTTATATTTGTTTGATTGGACTACCTAATTAAAAAAAAAAACTACTAGCTTGCGTCTGTTACATTTGAATATCATATACTGAAAATATGTGATTTATTAAAATATAAGTAATGTTATGTTTTTCAATATATCGATTCTTAAATGTAACGCCTTGACCGAGAAAATTTGAAAGAATTTCTATGCATTGATTTGTAATTTTAAATTGTATCCTTGAAGGTCAAACGTCTTTGTCTATTTTAAACAAATCCACTAGCGAACAGACGTTTGCTAAGAATAGATTGAGAAAATACATTGACCTTTGAAGTAAGAATTTATTTAAAAAATATATATATATATATACATATATATATATATATATATATATATATATATATATATATATAATATTAAACTATTGATTAAATGTTAATTGCTTTTTATATTATTACTTAATGAAATATAAAAATTCTATTAAAATAAAAATAATGTATCGTCAATAAATTATATTTTAGTATTCATTTCGTTTACTGTTTTTATTTATTTTGTATTTAGGTGCATTAAATTGATTGGTCGTAATGAAATATTTTATTTGTTTATAATTCTCTTTATTTTTATAAAAATCAATTTTTTCCACATATTTGAAAATTATATCCATCACTTAGCAACCAAATATGTATAAAATATCTAATATATATTTTAAATAACAATATTTTTTTTTATTAACGAAATTTACAACTGTAATTAATAATAAATACAACAAGTAAATAGGAACAAGTAATATGACATGTACAACATGAAAAGAAACTACCATTGGTAGCACTCCAATTATATTTCTATATTAGAAGGTCGCGAGGCCATCTTCTTTTCAGACGCTTCGGAGGGTTATGAGGAATAGATTAGGAAGCAAGGTTGGAAACAAGAGGGTTCGGATGGTTCAGAAGTTTATTATGAAAGGACAGGTATCTGGATTGAGCTAAATCGGAAACATATGGTACATTAAGGTCATTATGGATGATTTTATTTGTGACAAAGTAGGGAGCATTAAGGATTTTAAATAACAATATGGTTTTTTTTTTAAATCCACTAGTTTTTAAATATTACGAAATATTTAAATCTAATATCTCCTAGTTGAAGATATAATAAAACAAATTTTTAATTTTTTTTTAAATATCTAATGATAATTATAAATTTGTGTCATGTATATGTGCGGAGTATCTGTTGACAGAAGCGATGATATAAATACAGTTATTTTTATATGAATGTACTTTGTATTCAGAGTTTTTCTACAGGCTGTTGATAAGACTTATCAATTAGACTTATAACCTTTAATCTAATTATTTAAAACCTTATCTACAGGTGTCAATTGATAACGAAGGTGTGAATTTAAATATACACCGTAATATTGAATATACACTAACTCAGTCAAACACATATTGTATTAAAACCATGCCTGTCGAAACTACAGTTCAGTCAAATTCCTTCTAATCCAAGTTAATCACAAACCATTATCGCTGACGTAAATTCTTATTTTATTACTATTCGTTCCTATCTTATGTTACACACATTTACAAAATCTTATATCGAAAATTGGTCTAGATTATTATTTTTATTTAAAAAAAATTAATATTAAAACAAGTGTAAAAATAAAATAAAATATACTGTTATCGGTTTCGATAATTTTTTTTTTCATTTTGAAGGGAATTTAATAAGCTTTCAAATACCCATATGTATAATCGACCAAAAATTGCGTTTTTTTCGAGTTATTCCCAAATTATGAATTAAATTGTAACGTCTCGATTCGTTGAGACGGACACATCATATGATCTGAAACCTCCCACTTTTACATTCACTTTTATATAAGTCTAGGTATAAAATTAGGAATCAAAATTACGATTCGCGCACTCTGCGTGATATTTCCTTTCTGTTGATGCCTCATTCGTCAAAATCCATCTCTCCTGAAAGCCGGAAGAGGGATATATATTTGAGAAATAATATATAAGAAGGTAAGAGGGATCCTAATCTCGTCACCATAGCGACAAACCACTTCGCTTTTGGTATTTTCCTTCTGCAGTTAACCATTCATCCACTAAATCATTCATAACTCCTCAGGATGTTCTCCAAATTCAATGTTACTATATACGTTGGAAAGCTGAATTATCGCTCTTCAAAGCCGTTTAAATGTTTTTTTTTATTTAATGTCTATATAAGGACCGATCAATCTGTTTCTGTGACAGAAAAAAATAATTTTCGGACCGGACACGTGGTTAGGGTTAAAATTTAATACATACACTTACTCAAACCCATATGGACATACGCCTCACAAATTTACGGTTCTGCAAAAACTACAGTCATTTCAATCCAAAATTTTACGACTTATAACAGTATCCTTGGTACATAAACAACAAAACTTAACATAACGACTTACGACAACCAACTATCGACCAACATATACGCGATCTCTACTCCAGATTTCATCTCAAACTACACGGACATCACAACGGACTTATTAACGACATGGCCACAGTTGACATGCCTATCAGCAGAACCACTAAAGAGAAGCTGGATGAGAGATCTCCTTTCCTGAATTAAGGAAATAAATCAAAACCAGGACGTGCTGCTGGGTACTATTTTTTTCCTCACGCCTAAAATGTCAATCAGGAAAATTAACCTAATTCAAAGATAATGTATATATTTGTCCAAAAACGGTAGAAAAGTCGTTTGAGTGTGCTCACCAATTTTGTTTATTGCCATTGTCCGATATTAATCTTCAAATTTAACATTTAATTAATTAAAAATTTAAAAATATTTAAATTAATTTTATATATATATATATATATATATATATATATATATATATATATATATATATATATATATATATAAAGTCTACAATATATATTAAAATCTACTATAAAAAATATTGAAGAGGAGTAGGTTCAGTTCAGTCACAAGTAACTAGGGAAAATAAATATTATTTATTTATTTTTATTTACTTGTGACTGAAAATCCCAACCAATTCCTCCTCAATATATCCACAACAGTCAATTATTAATCCACTATTATTATAAAAAATATTTATGTGCGCATAAATACATTCAGTTTTACGGTTTAATAATCAATTTAAATATTTATTGTTTTTTTGGAGTGGAAAAAAAAAACTAGGTGCGACCTTCGATTCGGATGGCTTATGAACCTTGTAATCTAAAAACAAACCATGAAAATCGAAAATTACCGAAAGCAAAATAATTCAAGCCGATTATATTTGAAGAAAAATCACGTATCGACATCAAAATGTTATTATTATTCTTTGTAAGCAGTTCGTTTAACCTCTCCATGCTGATTTACCTATATTAGTTTCTTCAACTTAATTTGCATATCCAATTGCGAATGATTTTGTTTTGTTTGAGAAAAAACATAAGGTGTAATTTGTATCAGAAGTTTGGAGTAGTTATTTGTTAATATGTTTCCTATTGTTTGCTCATCAACTGGGTCGAAGTAGGGGATTTGCCTCTGGTGATAGAATTTCGGGGCTGATAGAAATTATCATAACAAAGCTCATTTTATTGACTGAAATGAAGTCAAAACAATATTGAGCGACATTTTTCTTTTAGGTTAAGTAATTTTTTTTTTCTGGTGTTTGTTTGACGCTATTTCAGTCTATAAAATGAGTTTTGTTATCATAATTTGTTCTCCCAAAATATATCAACTAAACTTGTGTAATAAAACTGCATAGTTTTATTGGGTATAGTCGTGGGTTGTAAAATTAAGATTGTCCCTCCTGTAAAATCATAGATCTAAAAAAATCTTGATCTACAAATGGCACTTCAGTTATGGAATGAGATTTCAAAGGGAAACAACTCACGCAATAAATGTTTTAGGATTTCTTGTTTGAGTGATTAACTAAATTTTATATTTTTAAATATTAAAATTTTCTATGTAAATAAAGAAAAATCGCGAGACGGATTGAAAACAGTTGCGAATCGGACTGCTCTATGTCAACAAACAGAAATACTTCAAAGCTCTTGAACGCTTGCGTTTCAATTTTATTTATAGTTAGCTGTTACAATCTTTGAAGGGAGTGGGGTAGCTCAGTGGTAGGGTACTGAGCTTCTAATGCTAAAGGTCCCAGGTTCGAATCCCCGCTCATGGCAGAAAAAATATTTATTCTGTTTCATTGGCCGTGGGGCGATCCTGGGTCCGGAGACCCTCCTTGGGCACACCCAACCTCTATAAAGTGGGTACCCTTAATTAAATAATTAATTAAGGGAAAGAACTTGGCGGTTGTGCGTGATCTCGGTCAAATCACCTTGCACAAGCGTTAAAGAAGAAACAGTGCTTTACCTAAATAGTTCTGAACCCAAGATGCTTCATGGGTTATGGTAGTGGTACAGTTTTTTTTTTTTTTTTTTTTGTTACAATCTCTGAGGGACCAAAATAGATCATAGAGATCATAGACTTTTTTTATCGTTTACACTTTCCCCGCCTTTTAGGCTATACGTTTTTTTCCCCAAGCTAGGAGAGATTGGATTGAGGTTGGGAGAGGTTGAGGGATTAATGATAGAGTTTAAAGCCCTCCGGAAGCGCGGGAACTCTTAATTGTTTTATCATATAAAAACTCCAGTTTATGAGGTAGTTGGGCAAAGTGGGTTTTGTACAACTGTTTGCTCGTTCGACCGTCACACCCCTGAGCTCATTGAATAAGACACTGGTTTTCCGTTTCAACGTTCCTTGGGTTGAATCTGTGCATCGACTCTGTGATCTGTAGACCCTCCTAAGGCACATTCAGCTTCTATAAAGTGGTTAATTACTAATTAATTAAAAGAAAGATTCTGGCAGTGGAGCGTGATTTTGATGAATCCAAGATTCCAATAATCCATTCATGGGTAGGTTTAGAACCTCTCCCAAAGAACGAATGGATACCTGGCGATTGATTTGGTTTATTCAGCTTTTGAGCTACAATAATATAAAAGTTTGATTTTTATTTCTTACTATCAAGATGATGATTCCATTTCAATTATTTAAAAATACACCCATTTTTAATTTTACTTCGCACTACATTAATATCGACTATCGAAGTGCATCGACTCTTGATGTTTTTTATTAATTTTTTTATTTTACACTTATAAAACAAAGAAAATGTGATTTCTAATATATTTCATTAAAATTTTAATGTTAATTCATTTTACATTGTATTCAACACATGTTTCCATTCGAAGTTTTTTTCATGGGAAAAATTTTGTGGTGTTTTCATGTTCACGATTATCCCATTTGGACATTTTAAGGGATTTTATGTGCGGGCTGTTTGACATGATGCAAGACGTATTCATGGACATAACGAACAGAAGTAGGAAGAAGGTGAAGAGCTCCAAATCGTCGAAAGCTGGACTATCGTTTCCCGTGGGTCGTATCCATCGCTACCTGAGGAAGGGGAAATACGCCAATAGAATAAGTCCTTCTGCCTCCGTCTACATGACGGCCGTCATGGAGTATCTGGTCTACGAGCTCTTCTCGCTTGCTGGTAGTGAGGCGAGGATCGCCAAGAAGTCGAGGATCATCCCCAGACATCTTCTTCTGGCCATAGTCAAGGACGAGGAGATGAAGAAGCTTTTGACCAAGACTGTGCTTAGTCAGGGTGGGGTCGATACGTCCATCCAGAACGCTCTTAATCTGTCTGTTAAATAGGATTCGGTTCGTTGAACATATACAGGGTTACAGTTATAAGTTCCTTAGTACCCAGTCAATGTGAACAACTATTAGGAACAATAAAAACCTTTATTGCTCAACTGTTGTTTTTTTTTTTTTTTCATAATCATAATCCAACAGTTAAATTAAGTTATTCTTGAGAGGCACTCCCAGACTCTGCTATATTGAACACTACTTCTAGTCTGCTTATTGGCCAAGAAATGATTCTTCCTTATCTTATCATGAGTTAAATTACAAAAGATTAGTTTTGTATTGCATATTTTTTTTTTCAAATCTTTAACTATGTACAGAGCTTCCAATGCTAAATGTCCCAGGCTCGAATTCCGACTCAAGGCAGAAAAAATATTTATTATGTTTTCATGTCGCCCTTCATAACTTTTTTTTACAGAAATTTCGGAGGGATAGGATTATTTTTCGCATGGCAAGGATAAGAATATCTTCAAAATGAGTAAGTGGTCAATCATTGGATTTGATGAAGAATTGACGTACCGACAAAAAAACACCTCTTAGAAATAATATATAGGATAGAAGAGCTGTGCTGAGATTGTCTTCATGGCAACGACTTCACTTTTCATTATGATGTTTTTGCCTCGCGTTCACTAAAACATTCATAACTCCTAAGACATGTCATCATAATTCAATGTTTCTACATGCGTTGGAAAGCTGAATTATCGCTCTTCAAGACCGTATAAATAACTTTTTTAAGTCGCCGTGGGACGACCCTGGATAGGTAGACCCTCCTTGGGCACACATAGCCTCTATAAAGTGGGTACCCTTAATTAAAATAATTGATTTAAGGGAAATTCTGGAGATTGAGCTTGATCACCTCCTTGAGCAGCCGTAGACCAAGAAACAGTTCTTTTCCTAAATAGTACTGAACCCAGGACCCTTCATGGGTTGTCGGTTTCTATTTTTTTTTTCTGCAATTTCGTGATCCATTTCACAGATCCACAAAGAAATTAAGTCCAAAGGAAATTAATACTATCCCGTCTTTTCTCTTTTTCTACAATTAATTAATTTTGCTATTTTGGGGGAACACAAATTTATTCTATTTTTCAAGTGTTAAAATATCATTTATTATCAAATAGTTCCTTTGCCATTTGATGATAATACATATTTGCTAATTCCTAGATTAAATATTTTTAACGTATATGATTTTCTTCTATAGCAATTTTCTAAGTATTTTTTTTTGTAATCATCCCAAATATCTTCTAAAGAACGAGTTTTCTTCAAATATTTGTTATCACTCTGTCCAGCTATAGTATAAATTCACTGCGTTAATTTAATTTTTGTTATTTTATGAAAAAGTAAAATCATTTAAATGACCCTGACTTTTTTAAGTGGATTTTATTAGCGAAAACTTGATGTAGGCGCTAAATCCAGATACTTCGTCAATACAAACAGTCGGCAAAAATTCTTTACTATACTTTTTTTTTGTTTTTGATAAAATAAAAAAAAAATTTATCGAGCTTGTTGAGTATTGAATATTTTGGAATATTAGAAGATTCTCTTGCCAGATATTCGCTCATTGCGAAAGAGAAAGATGACTTTAGTCCACATCATCCTTCGCGGTGTCACGTAGACGCAATTTCACGTGTTTTTTTTATTTTTACGTTATAAGTTATCTTATTTTTTTTTTAAATATTAGTATTGTATTATTTTCTCAAAAGTTTGAAGATATATAATACACTTATCATTTCATTTCGTTAAATATTTCATTATTGTTTTGTTTAAAATAATTATTATTTTACTTATCTTTTTTCCGATATTAATAGTAAACTATGAAAGTGGATTTATATTATTTATTAAATTTTATTTTAGTACGAAAAAAAATTCATGTAGCCTAAACTATCCTTGTTCTACGTAAGTGTAGACAAAGAACGCTGCCTTCCTAGTGACTAAGAAAAGTAAATAAAAGGTGATTCCAATTATTGGACTTTTTTTTTGTCATTAATAACATGCTAAAAAAAAATTACCATTACTCCAGTAACACATTCAAAAATCAAAAACCAAAACAAAGGATATAACCTTTGTAGTATAACATATAAAAAACATCTAGAGACCATATCATTGCTCCTAATTGTCCGATTTTTTTGTTTTTTAGGGAATTCCGTATACTTTTAAATAACAAAAAATTTAATATTATAAAATATTGACAAAAAAGTTATACTTTTTGGGTTATTCAGGATTTAATTTTACTATCCCTCGTAACTTTTTTTTCAACTTCTTTTTGTTGAAGTATGTTATATAGATAAATTTAAAGGGCGTCGAGAAAATGACTTTAGCGAAGTTTCATTGAAATTTGTACATTCGTTTAGGAGGTACATTCTATAGCAACGCAGGTTTTTTGGCCGCCATTTTGAAAGTTAAAGGCGGAGAGTAATGTCGATGAAGGGGGATCATCCTCGGGTGACCTCTGATTTTATATCAAAATTTGAAAAAAATCGGTCCAATAGTTTCGGAGAAAATGCGCGGACGGCGGACGGATTTGGGGGCGGGGAGGCCGAATAGGTTAAAGCGTGTGCACAGCACCGCGAGTTGCCTGGCAACCGGAGAACACGATTTGAGATGATTTAAAAAGTAAGAGTTCGCGTCCCGGTGCCGGAGGGGATTTTAAATTCCCCGCCCTCATCCTCCGGCCCGGGAAAATCCCGTTTAGCCTAAAAGGCGAGGTAGGGAAGAACAAAAAAAAAAAAAAAAAAAAAGGACGGCGGACGGACAAAAAATTTTTATTCGTTTTTCGAATTCTAAGCGTCCTGAAACGTGAAACCTCAAATTTTGAGAGGGGGTTAAGTTTTTTAATTTTTTGGTCGATCACAATGGTTGTTTATTGAAAATACTAAACCAAAATAAATGGAGTGATATAATTGCTAAAATATTATGTAATAGCATGCTAAAAGGAAGTGAGATAATCATAGAATCAAATGTGATGCAGAGAAAAGAAATGTTAAGTTATATAAGGAAATAATAGATGTGAATAGAAAATTGAGGTACTGTAAAATCTATCAAAACATATTGACTACGTATAAGAGTACCAAATATACTTATTTATTTTTGACTGATCATCCCAACCATTCTTCTCTTCAAATAAATTTATATAGGAATTATGTCGATTTCAACCCCTTAATAGCGGACTATCGGGGTTTATAACATGTTATCCTTGGTCGCTCACAATCGCTAGGCCTACGAACCGTTACGGACTCGCCATGTTTCGTTCAGGAAATCGCTCCGTCGACCTTGTTCGGGGAGACCGTATCTCTTTCGTTTCGTACACTCTGAGTTTATTCATAGTCTGTGTGTGTGAGTATATTTTGAGCTGAATTGTTCAATTTATGTCTTGTTTCGGTTATACGATCTTCGTAGATTCTGCTAAATTTCTGGTGAATCTACCTAGTTTTCTTAGTTTCAGCATGCTTCATTATTTATCCGCCTGATATTTAGTCCTTTCTCTTTAGCTTGTGTTGCATTCGTGGTTTGTAGACCCCTTAGAATCCGACTATATAACCCATTTGAGCATCCTTGCTTTCTGATACTAACGAGATTCCAAATGTAATTTCTTTTATCTGGTTTCTTTATTTTGTCTTAAATGAAGATGAGACATGATTACCATTCAAAGACAGTTTTTTACTATATTTTTTTATTTTTTTATTATTATTTTTTTTATAAAAAATACTTGTTAACCACTCCTTGAGTAACTTGAGTATCAAGCTATTCGTTCATTGGGAAATAGTAAGATGAATTTAGTCCACATCATCCTTCGCGGTGTCACGTAGACACGTCACTTATTTACTTTTTCTTATCTTTAAGTTTATGAGTTATATATTTCTTTTAATATTTTATTATTTTCTAGAAAGTTTAAAAGTATATAATACACTTATTACACGAGTTTTTTTATTATTTTACTAATCTTTTATTCGGCATTAATAGTAAAATATGAAAGTTTAAATTTAATTCCAGTTCTTTCAGGAATTAAAAAAAAAATTAAACGAAAAAAGAGCTGTTAAATCTGACAAACCTTAAAAAGCTAAGTTGAGTGGCATTGACTCCAACGAGCCCTTGAATAATAACTGCTTTGACAGAACTAATTTCATGATCAATCATCATGTTATGGCTGGGAGAAATAGTATTCAATGGTGTTTTTTATTTTGTCCAAATATGCTTTAGCAGTCTACATCGTTTAGAATAATCTATAATCCATCCCCGTATGTTAAAATATATTATTTACATAAATTTTATTTTCCTCAAGCTGTATACAAAATTATTTTTATATAACAATTAAACATATTAGTCCGTGGTACAGACAGACCCCTTTTAATCCAATTATTAACATTGGCCTAGAACTTCGTAAATAGTTTCATCTCATCGTAACCTACAACTATTTTATTTACGAAACCTCTTGATATTGGGAAATTTTCAATCTAGAGGGGGGCAAACTTTGTCTATTTAATTAGGTACTAAAAACTTTTAAATACCCATTTGTTTTCTAGTAACATTCATTGATCGTAAGATAAATTGATCACTTCATCGATAAAAAAACTGGCCGTTTGTCCTATATATAACCTCGTTATTTTGAAATTTTGAGAGTGTAAGGCAAGCCAAATGGGTCAATATTTTTTAAGGCCACCTTTTTTTTCGACTTTGTGATCAATTTATTAATATTTTAAAAAAATGATTTTTTTTTCTTTTTTGTTATTTTTTAAGATATGTAGACAATAATCTCGATCCTTCGGTTCCTAAAACACTTTATAGTAATCAAAACTTTTTTAGTAATCAGTCACTTTTTTATTGAATTCGCCATGAACATTCGCCTGAAACTTCGTAAATAGTGTCATCTCATCGTAACCTACAACTATTTTATTTACGAGCATACTATACGAAATTGGGGCGTTTTCAATTTACAGATCTACAAACTTTATCTATTTAATTAGGTACTAAAAATTGTATATACCCATTTGCTTTCTACTTGCATCATAAAATAACTTGAGCACAAAGTCAAGTAAAAAGGTGGCCTTAAAGAATATTGAACCATTTGGCGTGACCTACACCCTCAAATTGTCAAAATAAGAAGGTAATATAGGCC